AGCCAAATTAATCATCAGTAACCCTGTGTTCTATCCACAGGTAAAGAACAGTCATCCTCTTTATTATGGGTTTCAATTTAAAATATAATACATTTTTAGAAATGTCTATTTCCTTTTATAATCTCTTTGTATAATCTAGGTTATTCTGGCTCTTGAGTCTTCATTTAGCTACTGAAAAGATTAGATCTCTAGTCAATGATAACCACCCCTGACCACCTTCCACCTCCATCCCCCTATACCCGCCAGCATGAATTCTGGGAACTCAGTTAAAATGCTTTCTGGAAACCTGCCTGTATTAGTCTGTTGTCATACTGCTCATAAACACATACCCGAGACTGGGTAATTTATAAAGGAAAGAGGTTTTATGCACTCACAGTTCCACACAGTTTAGGCCTCACAATCATGGTAGAAGGTGAATGAGAAGCAAAGTCACATCTTATGGCGGCAGGGAAGAGAGAGCATGTATAGGGGAACACCAGCACTTTGGAAGGCCGAGGCAGAGATAAGTTGCACAATATGAATGTACCTAATACTACTGAATTATATACTTAAAAATGGTTCAAATAGTAAGTTTTATATAATGTTACTATGATTAAAAAGAAAAAATGAGGAAATGTCAAACTCCAGTGATAATATGTACAGTGAAGTTCTTTTTTTTTTGGGGGGGGGTGGGGGAAGGCAGGAAGGGCGGGAAGAAGGACGGTAGGGAGAAAGGAAGGGATGAAGGAAGGAAGGAAGGGAGGAAGTGGGGAGGGAGGGAGGGAGGAAGGGAAGGGAAGGAAGGAAATCAAGCAATGAGAGAGACATTGCCGACCTGGATCTAGAGGTTTACAAGTTGATTTCTTGTTTTTTTTTGAGAGAAGGAAAGAAAAAAAAAATAAGTAAAGGAGAGGAAGAAAGAGGAAGAGAAAGAGGGAGAATAAATGGAAATATTGCTTTATTTTGAAAAAAATTGGGTATTAATAATGGCCAATCAATGTTTCATTTAAACTTATGGGTAGGTGTGATGTGGTATTGACAAGAATGTATATTTTGTGTATTTGAAGTGGAGAGCTCTATGAATATTTATTAAGTTTACTTGTTCCGGATCTGAGTTCGAGTCCTTGATATCCTTATTAATTTTCTGTTTCATTGAATCTAAGTCTCGTATCTGGGTGTTAGGATCATTAGCTCTTGTTGTTGCATTGATCCTTTTACCACTATATCTTTGTTGCTTTAAAATCTATTTTATCCGATACGAGAATTGCAACTCCTGCTTTTTATTTATTTATTATTTATTTTTGCTCTCCATTTGGTTGGTAAATCTTTCTCCATCCCTTTGTTTTGAGTCTTTGTGTATCCTTGCATGTGAAACAGGTCTGGATGTAACATGCCATTGGGTTTTGGCTGTGTCTTTTGATTGGGGGATTTAGTCAATTTAAATTTAGGGTTACTGCCATTTGATGTTGACCGGCTGTTTTATCCATTCGTTGGTGTAAATTCTTCTTTATGTTGGTGCTCTTTACTTTTTGGTGTATTTTTAGAAAGGCTAATACTGGTTGTTTCTTTCTGTGTGTAATGCCTCTATCAGAAGCTCTTGTAAAGCAGGCCTGGTGGTAATAAAATCTCTGAGTTCTTGCTTGTTCATAAAAGATTTTATTTTTCCTTCAGTTGTGAAGCTTAGTTTGGCTGGATATGAAATTCTGGGCTGAAGGTTCTGTTCTTTGAGGATGTTGAATATTGGCCCCCACTCTCTTCTGGCTTGTAGAGTTTCTGCTGACAGATCTGCTGTAAGTCTGATAGGCTTGCCTTTGTGGGTAACCTGACCTCTCTCTCTGGCTGCCCTTAGTATTTTCTCCTTCGTTTCAACCCTGGTGAATCTAACAATTATGTGCCTTGGGGTTGCTCTTCTTGAGGAATATCTTTGTGGTGTTCTCTGTATTACCTGGGGTTGAATGTTGACCTGCTTTGCTAGTTTAGGAAAATTTTCCTGAATAATATCCTGAAGGGTATTTTCCAGCTTGGATTCATTCTCTCCGTCGCATTCAGGTACACCTATCAAACGTACATTTGGTCTTTTCACATAGTCCCACATTTCTTGGAGACGTTGCTCATTCCTTTTTATCCTTTTTTCTCTAATCTTTTCCTCACGTTTTATTTCATTAAGTTGGACTTTGACCTCTGATATCCCTTCTTCTGCTCAAACAATTCGAGTGTTTAAACCTGTGCATACTTCTCGGAGTTCTTGTATTGTATTCTTCAGTTCCATTATTTCACTCATACTCCTCTCTAAGTTGTCTATTCTCAATAGGATTTCATGAAACTTTTTTTCAAAGTTCCTAGTTTCTTTACGTTGGGCTACAACATGTTCTTTTAACTCACCGAAGTTTGTTATTATCCATTCCTTGAAGAGTGATTCTGTCATCAGCATGCGCTCGTTCTCCATCAAGCCTTGTTCCATTGTTGCAGTGAACTGTGATCATCTTTAGAGGGAGAGGCGTTCTGACTTTGAGTATTCTCAGCTTTTTTACGCTGGTTTCTTCCCGTCATTGTAAATTTATCCTCCTGTCGTCTTTGAAATTACCAACTTTCAGATTAGGTCTCTTGAGTGGATGTCCAGGTTGTTAGTTCCCAGGGCCAGAGCAGCGGCGTTAAAACTGATGGTGCTTTTCTGCCCAGGATTCTCCTGTCTGGCTTCCTTCTTGTGTCCCTAGTAGGCGACTCTGCTTTCCTGGGGCTCCAAACCTCGGTCAGAAGGGGAACCGGTCCCGTTTGCTCTGCGCCGAGCGCTGCTGCGCCGAGGTGCCCTCACAGCCGCTGAGCCGGGCTCTGGTGTCCTGCTGGGGACCCGTGCGGGTCCTCCGAACCTGTTTACTCTGCTCCGAGAGCTGCCGTGCCAAGGTGCCGGCGGAACCGCTGCACCGGCCACGAGAGTCGCGCTGGCCACCCGTGTGTTTCCTCCACTGGGGGATCTTCTGCTCCGTGAGTGACCAGAATTTGTCTGGAAGTGTGGCGTCCTCTAGTTCTCCGCGCCTTCCCTGAGAGCTGCAATCCCGGGTTGTTAGTGATCGGCCATCTTGGATCTTTCCTCCTACAGTGAAGTTCTTAAGGAGAGTGTGTAATGATGTCTATTTAATTTGAAATTCTTCAGAGAAGTAAAGTGGATGGGATGGGCCGGGCATGGTGGCTCATGCCTGTAATCCCAGCACTTTGGGAGGCTGACGTGGGTGGATCACCTGAGGTCAGGAGTTCGAGACTAGCCTGGCCAACAAAGTGAAACCACTTCTCTACTAAAAATACAAAAATTAGCCAGGCATGGTGTCAGGCATCTGTAATCCCAGCTGGGGAGGCTGAGGCAGGAGAATCACTTGAACCTGGGAGGTGGAGGTTGCAGTGAGCTGAGATTGGGCCACTGCACTCCAACCTGGGCAATCAATAGAGGGAGACTCCATCTCAAAATAAATAAATAAATAAAAGAAGCAAAATGGATGAATGCAAGAATGGAGAGATGGGTAAATTTATGCTTAAACAAGAACAAAAATGGTGGGATACATGTCACTGTAAAATTCTTTCATCTTTACTGTATTTTAAATTTTTCACAGTAAAATATTGGGGAAAAGTTAAGAGAAGATTATTGGGAATAAGCTGGCAATTTACATAAAGAACTCCTTGATTTTTTTGACTTATAAATTCATTGGTTTCTTTAATAATATACGAAATATGCAAATTAAAATCTCATGATATAACACCATACCCTTCTCAGAATTGCCAAAATGAGAAGAATTGATACTAACAAGTATTCATGAGAATTTCATATATTTCTGGTGGGTGTGTAAATTGGTGCAATCATTTTGGAAACTTGGCAGTATCTTCTAAAGGTAAAACATGTCTATCCTATGATCCAGCAATTCCACTCCTAGGTATATGCCCAAGAGAAATTACTGCTTGTGTTCACCTAAAGACATGATTGAGAATGTTCGTAGCAGCTGTATACATAATGGCCCCAAACTGGTAAGAACACAAATGCCTATTTACAGCAGAATGGGGCCAGATGCAGTGGCTCACACCTGTAATCCCAGCACTTTGGAAGGTGGATCACCTGAGGTCAGGAGTTCAAGACCAGCCTGGCCAACATGGCAAAACCCCATCTCTACTAAAAATACAGAAATTAGCTAGGCATCTATAGTCCCAGCTACTTGGGAGGCCGAGATTGGAGAATCTCTTGAATCTGGGAGGCAGAGGTTGCAGTGAGCCAAAATTGCACCACTGCACTCTAGCCCGGGAGACAGAGTGTGACTCCATCTCAAACAAACAAACAAAAACCAAAAGAATGGATAATTTGTGATATATGTAAAGGAAATTCCACATGGCAATGAAAAACACAAACTAGTGCTGCATGTAATAACATAGATAAATATCACAGATGCTATGTTTAATGGAAGAAGCAAGATATAAGAGAGTACATAATAGGTGATTCCATTCTTCAAAAATGGAATCACCTATTACCTTCAAAAATATGTACAACCCAATCTATGGTGACAGAATTAAAAATAATGGTTGCCCTTAGCAAGGGGTGGGGAGTAAGGAGAATTGCCTGGGAGTGTTACCATGGGTAGCTACTCAGGTATGAGCAGGGTAGAAGAGGGCTCCCCCGATACACACACCAGGAAAGTCAGACAACCATCAGGTAGTCAGGCAGCTGTGAACTGTCTAAAGCAACAATTGGTCACAGCTGGTGCCAGGGAAAGACAATGTCCTAATAGACAGGAAACACCTGATACTGGTGATCAGCCGCTTCCCGGTAAGATCTCAGGAGTTGGGAGAAGAAACGCAAGACCCCAGAAGTATGCCAACATATTAAAAACCCCAAGTCAAAAGGTCAAACCATGCACTTGTCTTTCAAGTCACGCACTTGGCCCTCTTCCAAGTGTACTTTCCTTTCTGCTCCAAAACGTTTTAATACACTTTTATTCCTGCTCTAAAACTTGCCTTTGTCTCTCCTTTTGCCTTATGCTCCTCAGTCGAAATCTTTCCTCAGAGGGGGCAAGAAATGAAGTTGCTGCAGACCTACGTGGATAATTACCACCACTAGCAGAGGGGCGCAAGGGAGTCTCCTGAAGTACTGGAAGTTTCTATATCTTTTTCAGAGTGGTGGGTACACAGGTGCACACATATATAAAAATGTATTCATCTGCATACTTGAAGTTTTACACACTTTGTATAATTTATTAATCAACCAAAAAAGCAAAACTAACCTAATGCATAAAATCCATCAGGTTAATGAGTAGACATCGTTCTTTGTCCTGGAAACCTCAAGTTTAGTTTGCTATTCCGTTTTAGCTGACGTTGCCCTGCTTGAAGTGCTGTCCAGGGAAGCCACAAGGCACTGTTCTGGGTGGGGGTGGGAGTGGTATCCACTTCCCCAGACCCACCAAGATCTGAGGTGGAGGCTGGCCAGACACTGGGACTCTGCTGGCATTTCGGCTGCAGATTTGGGGCAGGTAAGGGGCATGGAGAGAACAGAGCCAAAACCATCACTAGGTACTAGGAGGATGTGACCATCTCAGTCTGAGAGAGGCATGGGAAAGGAGGGTGGAGGCAGGAGCATTCTCTAGACTTAGGCTCATGAACAGCTTTCAAATCCAGCTCTTGTCCCAATGTTGCCTTATACCACATGCTTGTGGCAACTGAACCACCTCTGACTTTTTTTGCAACCAGGTGCCTGACACAGCACAGCTAGATGAGTCGGGATGTGGCAGGAAGCAGGTGACACTGACATAAGGTAACTGACCATAGCTGCTTTTGTTTTTTGCCTTTAGAGGAAGATGCTGAGAACACCTCCATGTATTAAATTAGCTATAGTAAAGTATAGTTTACATATTGAGGAGAGTTTAATGAAAGGATTTGTACAGATGTAACAGGTTTAGGAAATGACCCCACTCAGCTGTCCCCCTTTCTATGAGACCATGCCTCTGCCTTCTCCTGACTTCACCCCACTCCAGATGGCCTTTCTTGGTCCTTTTGTGGGTGGAGATGTGGGTGGTTCTCAGTTCCAGTTAGAATTGACTCAACTGGGGAAGCTTCCAAATATATCAGTGCCTGGGCCCCGCCCCCAGCATTTCTAATTTAATGGGGCTCAGGTGGAGCCTGGGCAGTGGCGCTGTGTAAAAGCTCTCAGGTGACTCCAACATCCCCAGACCAATCCACTGAGACTCTCGGGGGTGGAAGGCCTGCGCATTGGTACTTTTTCAGATTTCCCCAGTGCGGCCAGAGCCAAGAAGCTCTGTTATGTTTCTTTCCAAATCTATTGTCTTAGCAAAAAATCATGGCTCCGTTCTCCTCAGATCTTCCTTTTAGTTTTCAAGGTGTATTTCAGAAGTAAAATAATATAATTACATTTAAAAACTGAACATTAATGATTTTTACCCTAACAACACTACCTGAGGTACTGTCAGAATCTCCAGCCAGAGGAGGGTCAAGAACAAGGGAATAAAAAAAGCGACACCTCTATTTGACAGCAGCATTGTTCACAACAGCCAAGAGCTGGAAGCAACCCAGTGGCCACTGTGGATGAATGGATAAGCAAAACTCAGCATGTACACACAGCAGCCTGTTATTCAGCCTTAAAAAAGAGGACAACTCTGGGCCAGGCACGGTGGCTCACACCTGTAATCTCAGCACTTTGGGAGGCCGAGGCGGGTGGATCTCCCGAGGTCAGGAGCGTGAGACAAGCCTGGCCAACATGTCGAAACCCCATCTCTAATAAAAATACAAAAATTGGTCAGGCATGGTGATGTGCACCTGTAGTCTATCTGGGGAGGCTGAGGCAGCCGAATGGCTTGAACCTGGGAGGTGGAGGTTGCAGTGAACAGAGATCACACTACTGCACCCCAGCCTGGATGACAGAGTGAGACTGTCTCAAAAAAAATAAAATAAAATTGTGACATGTGCTACATGCTCTACCATAGAGGAAGTTGACATAACACTAAGTGAAATAAGCCAGTCACATAAAGACAAATACTATGTGATTTCTCTTATACAAGATGCCTACAGTAATCAAATTCGTAGAGACAGGAAGCAAAACAATGGTTGCCAGGGGCTGTGGGGAGAGAGGCATGGAGAGTTGTTGGATGGATAAGTGTTTGGGATTTGTAAAATGAAAGAGTCCTGGAGAGGGAGGGCAGTCACCACACTGTACAGTAAGGTGGATGTGCTTAACAATACTGACTTGTACACTTAAGAATGGTTACAATGGTAAATTTTATGTGTATTTTATCACAAAAAAAAATTTAACCTAGTGTGGTGGCTCACATCTGTAATCACAGCACTTTGGGAGGCCAAAGCGGGAAGATCACTTGAGCCCAGGAGTGTAATACTGGCCTGGGTAACATAGTGAGATCCCATGTATACCAAAAAAAAGAAAAAATTAGCCAGGTGTGGTGGTGCGCACTTGTAGTACCAGCTACTTGGGAGGGAGGCTGAGGCAGGAGGATCACTGGAGCCCAGGAAGTTAAGGCTGAAGCAAGCCATGATTGCATCATTGCATCATTGCATCATTGCACTCCAGCCTGGAAGAGGCCGGCACGGCGGCTCATGCCTATAATCCCAGCACTTTGGGAGGCAGAAGTGGGCGGATCATCTGAGGTCAAGAGTCGGGGACTAGCCTGGCCAATATGGTGAAACCCCATCTCTACTAAAAATAGAAAAATTAGCTGGGCATGGTGGCAGACGCCTCTAATCCCAGCTACTCAGGAGGCTGAGGCAGGAGAATCACTTGAGCCCTGGAGAGGGAGAGGAGGGGAGGGGAGGGGAGGGGAGGGGAGGGGAGGGGAGGGGAGGGGAGGGGAATCTCACACAGCCCGTGGAATGAAAGAGGCCAAATCTGAGGAACCCAAGGCGAGGCTAAGCCTAGTTATGCCCCTCAGAGAATCCTTACCAGATATTTAATGTTTCTCCTCCTTTGATTCTGGGAACCATATTTGGCATCCAGTTTATTTATTTATTTGTTTGTTTGTTTATTATTATTTTTTTTTGAGACGGAGTCTTACTCTGTCGCCAGGCTGGAGTGCAGTGGCGCAATCTTGGCTCACTGCAACCTCTGCCTGGGTTCAAGCGATTCTTCTGCCTAAGCATCCCAAGTAGCTGGGACCACAGGCACGTGCCACCACGCCCGGCTAATTTTTGTATTTTTAGTAGAGACGGGGTTTCACCATGGCCAGGATGGTCTCGATCTCTGGACCTCGTGATCCGCCCGCCTCAGCCTCCCAAAGTGCTGGGATTACAGGCGTGAGCCACCGCGCCCAGCCTGGCATCCAGTTTAAAGGTATTTTTTCTATTGTGGAAATAAATGAAGATAAACCACAGGAAATCAAGCAAAGGCTATTTATCAAGAGCCTGCTCTGACAAGGGAGTCACACACCATCACTTGTATTTCGGAAAGGATGTGAAAGCAGGCAGGAGTGGGAAAGCTTCTGAATGGAAGAAAGGGGTGGCTTCATGTGTGCCGTGGTTGGGGGCAGTTGGCATGGGGAGGCTGGTGGTGGCCAGCCAGCAGCGTGGCATCCTGTGTGATGGGTTGGGGGTGCTTACTTGCTTCTCTCTGGTTGGTCCTAAGTGGGAAGTGGGGGCAAAAACAAGGGACGTTGTCAATTGTTCATCACGTCCTAGGTGTTTGGGGACGATGGTTGCAGAGGTTATTGTTTGGCTTCCTACACTGGTTCCTAGAGATTGTGGCTCAACTTCCTACAAGTCTGACTGGTCCATGGTGGCTTCCTGGGCTGGTTAACGTAGATAACGGGTTCACTTTCTGGGCTGGTTGCCACAGAGTGTGGGTCAGGGTTCTGTTTTTCTACGTGGTCTGGCCACGGTGCATTTGTATGTTCCATCTCTCAGTAGCAAATATTCAGGCCTTTCACCCCCAAGCCTAGTGACAGTGGCCTTGTAGGAGCACAAAGAAAGGGCAGCGAAAGGAGGCAAGCGAGGCTCTTGTTGCCTTGCACCTCTGGCTGCTCAGGTCAGCGTGGCAGCTGTGATACCTGACCAAGGGGGAAGAGGTCCAAAAGTTCCAGTTATGACCAGGACCAAAGCTGAAACCTGAGAGAGACAGGTGGCAATGGGGAGGCCACCCCTGCAGCGTGAGTCTCATTCGGACTTAGCCTGAATGAGAACCCTGACCTGGGCATGCAATAGGAAGGTCGCCCTGAGGGCGGAAGGAAGCACTTCGGATACACAGTTCTTGTCCAGTAGAAGCAGAGGGGATTCCTGGAGAGTAAACCACTGTAGAAAATCCCTAATTATTCCTTCCGCAGCTCCTCTGCCTCCTTCCCCCCCATCGCCTGTCTCCCAGCTTTCGCTGCAGATCCTCTCCACCTTTTCATGCTGTCTCCAGGAATTCTCTCTGACTTTCACCCCAGAATATTTGGTTTACAGTTCTCTTATGGCCCAGCCCTTTGCTTGCTGTATAGTTGATGATATTACTATTTGCTTCTCTTAACCTCAACAAGACTACAAACACAAACTTTCTCTCTCTTTTTTTTTAGATGGAGTCTCGTTGTGTCACCCAGGCTGGGGTGCAATGGCACGATCTAGGCTCACTGCAACCTCTGCCTCCCGGGTTCAAATCATTCTCCTGCCTCAGCCTCCTGAGTAGCTGGGACTACAGGCACATGCCACTGTGCCTGGCTAATTTTTGTATTTCTTAGTAGAGACAGGGTTTTGCCATGTTGGCCAGGCTGGTCTCAAATTCCCGAACTCAGGTAATCCGCCCGCCTCGGCCTCCCAAAGCTCTGGAATAACAGGCGTGAGCCACCAAGCCCGGCCAACTGTCTTTTTTATCCCCTACCATGCTGACACAGGTGCTGAGAAAGCCCTCACTGTTCCTGTGATAGAGGACACATTCATTCACCAAATGTTTATTGAGCAGTTTCTTCCTGCCACACTTGAATAGAGGTGCTGGAGGTGCAAAGATGAAGGAGACACAGGGTGAGAGAAAATAGGCCACATAATTGCAGTCCTGCCTGGTAAGTACAGAGTAACAGGAGTAAGTCAAAGCGCTTTGAGAACACAAATACGAAAGCAACTTGCTTTGATAGGCAAGTCAGGGAAGGCTTCACAGAAGAGGTCAAATCTGACACAAGTTTTCCTTGCAGAGGAGAAGTGAAAGAGCATCCAGGCAGAAGGAAGTACAGAGAAGTGACACCCGGCTTCTGACCTCAGCATCAAGGGGACAGAAGGTGGGTGGAGGAGGGTGGGAGATGGGGCTGCCAGTGTCCGCAGGAGCCTGATGGGGAAGGGCTCAGGTGCCACTGTAATAAGGAGTACAGATTCTATTGGCGGCATGGGTCTGTAGGAGGCTGCAGGCTGCAAAACAGAGGAACATCAGATATTTGTGTGTTGTTAAGATAAGCTCGGCATCGATGTGGCAGACAGATGGGGCACCCAGTTAAGAGGTTGCAGATGGTAGGGACCTGAACGAGGGCAAGTGATACAGGACAAAAGGAAAGGATGGGTTTCAGAGGTGTTGAGGAGCAGAAATAGAGGCCTTTTAGGACCTGGTGTGTAAGGAGTGAAATAGGAGAATTGAGGGTGACTGGGCTTTCAGTTTAGGTGACAGGATATGTAGTAAGGAAGTATAATAAAGAAAGTCTTGGCTTGGGGTGGAGATGCCCAGGGCAGGGCACCAGCGGCCATCACCCAGAAGCAAGCAAACTGCGTGCACTCCTCAGCTGAAATCACATGGTTTCTCAGAAGGGCTGAAAATAATAGAACTCCTTCCTACTCTGGGGCAAATTGCTCTCCTTGTAGTTTTCAGCCAATCGGCTTGCCCTAGGACAAAATACAAGTCTCATTGTTTCACTTGCTGTGTGGGTTTTGCTTTTAT